TAGCACAAAACATGCGACAATTTGCCATGTTGGTGGTAGGCGTGCATAAGGTCATTAACATAGCTACACTGTCAAACTCTACTGACCATAACATTATTGGTAGTCATTAATTTCATAATTTGTGTGTGTGTGTGTGTGTGTGTGTGTGTGTGTAAAAGTAGATAGAATGAGAGAAAATGAGAGAGAGAAGGTGGTATTGCTAAAGAAAGGTGTACTTTTGACAAAACTGGAGCTAATGACACTATCCAATGTTTGTAAATCAGTAAAAACTAAGGAGTAACAAGGGGAAATAAAAGCCAGCTAGCCACCATGTTGGGATTATCTAAAGAAGTGAGGTAAATAAAGGTCACTTGGCATCAATAAGACTAGTCAGTTAGGATATACTATTAAAAAGCAAAACAACTGAGGAAAAAATCCTCGTGTTTTAACTATAAAATATCTCAAGTTAACAAGCAAATTAAAAATACCAATGTCACACATCAGAAATTAATTTCCAGAATTAATCCAAATGTGATCAAAATGAATACCACTGAATTGAATTAATTGATCTATAGTTTTTACAAAAAAATTAATAACTCAATGTACATACTTTTAAAAATATTTTCAAACTATCTCCCATTATCTTGACTGTGGTAAAGACCAAAAAGTAGTTTTCGTCACAGTGCTTGTGAATCCCTAGTAGTCTTCTCCCGTTAACCACCAACTACCGACTCATGTGAATTCAAAATAACAGCTAACATTTCCAAATATTGCATTATTGCAACTCAAACCAACTCTCTGCAGAGTTTCAAACTAAGTTAAGTTCATTGTTGGTTGCCTCAGTTTCTCCTTTCTAAACCCCTTTGTATCTGTCCACTGATTCCAGGTGTTCAATCTACTTACCTTTGGCTATCAGAACATAAATAGAAGCTCTACCCAGCAGTGTTACACAGCTGATATACATTTAGGTAGTTTGCTCTTCCCAAGAGTATTTGTACTTTAATAAGAATCAAAGCCTGAAACCTGCAGTCATGGCTTCCATAGGACCCCGTGTTTGTTTTTCTGGCATGGGACATGGGGTACCCAGTGTTGATGGCCAAGGGCTGATCCAAGAGCAGGGGTAAGGCACAAAGTTTTGAGAAAGACTCAGTCCCTTGTCTCTGAATTCATTCTCTATGGAGGTCCTAATTTTTCACATTTTTTCAGTGTACCTGAAATTGTATCAAGTGCACATATATTTATGTTAAGTGTACTCTTCTAAACAGCAAATATTACAAGAGTTACATTTCATTCCCTTAGTATGTGTTTGTAATAGTTGGATGTTTTCCTCCCATACTGACTACTCCAAAAACTTCAGATTACTGTAGGATAGGGGCCTAGGGATAAACAGTTAGGCTGAGGGAACTGGATCCGAGGGGATACACAATCACAACAGCTCTCAAACTAATAGGCAGGATGGCTGCAGACGTCTGGACCTAGGTAGGCTCTCCTGTGTGAAAGTATATCCATAAATCTAATGTCCGAGCAGTCTTAGGTCTCAGAAATAGTCAAGATAAATGTAGGTGAAATTCACAGGAATAACAAGGGGTGGTAGATGCTAGGTTGAAATTCTATGCATGTTAGCATATCAGTGAGAAGGACAGGGTCAACTTTGAAGTTTAAGAGTAAATAGCAAGTACATCATTCTGGGAGTTCGGGCATTACAATTTTAGAGATCAGGCAACAGGGAATTGGACCTGAGCCCAGAGAGTCTAGGCCGTATGAGTAAAACACAACTCCAAGAAAGCCCTGTATTTAAGCCGGTGGTCTCCATGACCTCTAATTTGCTTTAGCTTTTGTACACTTATTGTAGGATAGGAACTATGTCCCAAGAATGGCTGGCTTAGAGTCCACAGGTGGAAAAGGGACAAAAAGGTAGGGAAACAGATGTTGCCTTTTCTTGATCCAGGTCTCCTTATCTTCTTTCTGTTTAGTGACAAATGGACCCCTCAGTCTATGGTTGAGCTACAAAGACAGATAGAAGATAACAGGCTGAGCTCTAAGCAGAGAGGCCCCTCAAGAGATGGAAAGTAGACCTCCCTTCACAAGCAACAGAAAATCCACTCCCTGTTGGTAGAATAATTGTTAGCTGTAAACATGTAGTGCAGGGGTGGGAGAAGAAAGGCAAGCATTTTGTGCTGTTTGCACTATTTGGAAACCCTGACGTCACAGCACTCAGGTGCACACCTACTTGAGCCACAGGTAAACTTGCCCTGCATGTGAGTTGATTATAGGAATGATGTCTCAGGAGATTAAACATGGAAAACATGACTACTGAACCATCTACAGGATTAGGAAGGTATCACACTTGAGCACTAGAAGAAAAGCAATAAATTCTACAATGATATTACCTAGATCTGTGATCTGTTGGGGCAATTAAAGTAAAACAGATGTTCAGTGAATTTATTCTTAATCCCATTAATACAACTGTTCAGGGTTAGATAATGTTCATTTTCTGTTAACAAAGAGTAGCAACTTATCTACAGGCAATTCATGGATACCTGAAGCCCAGTTGAGACCCTTCCACAAAATAGTTCAGCAGTTTCCGAGTGTGAACTGGCAAACAGAGTTTTAAAAGAGAAGACGACACATACATGCTTTGCTTTTGTCCATCTGAAATAATTAACCACACTTGAATGCAGTTAGAATGTCAAGGGATTTATTATTTAAAATAGAGTCATCTCTTTGGTATCCCATGTTGAAAAGCTCTAGAGGAAGAAAACACAGTCTATTAATTAGAGCAACGTGGGACATTGTTTTTCATAAATGGAAGGCTTTTTAAAACAATCTTTGCTTTTCTATAATACGTGAAGGAAAATATACTGAGAATAAATCTCTAGTATTTAGATTTTTCAAAATGACAGCATCTGAGAAGTAACACAAAAAGTCACCTGCTCTAGACATAAAGGAAACTCTTTCTTACCTTCAATAATTAACAGAAACTGTGGTAAATCAAATTCAGAGACACACACAAGCCCTTCAGAAATGCCTCAGAGCTGGGATCCTGTGGCTAAGCCCATGGCAGACCCAGGACTCCCTCGACCTAAACTAGGCCATTATTCCAGTTCATTGAGTCACAGGCAAAGCAAATAAAGTGACAAATTCTGACATACAGGTCAGTTCATGGTGGAAGCATTTAAATTTTTGGCAGGGATAATAAAAATTGACTAATGTGGAATAAAAAAATGGCTTCTCACTTTTTGAGTTGTTCTCAGAGGAAAAAGAATGAGCATTTGATTTAACTATGTTAAGAAAATCACAAGATTTTTCTTTAACAGCTTTATGCCTTTGATAAAAAGAATGAAAATTCTCTTTTTAACAGTTCTACTATTGGCAACTATCAGTGTCAATAACTTGAGGTAGTCCCAGAGTTAGTGAGTTTATATGGATTAGGTTATAGCTTTGAGCCTGCTGTTCCTTTTTAGGCAAAATCCAAAGAAAAATAGTATTTGAAACATCTAACTCTTCTTTGACATTCTGCAAGTTCTTGGATAAATCACCATACTTTATAGATTCAAACCGTCCTTCCTAGAGAAATGATCTTCAACTCGCTGTGTATATTACAGGGTTTTGTGGAAAACCGTATCAGTTGTTTTAGTTTTGAAATAAAGTACTAATGAGTAAAATCCACACAGTTAATCTCTGGGTGGGCTATTTAACTTTGTTCTCTTACATGACCACACACTTTATCTTAACCAGGGACTTGGATCTAATAAAACATCAATTTTGTTCAAGTTTATTTCAGAAACTATTCTGTTGCTCTAGTTTTATTCTGGTTCAGTGGTTTTCAAAAATATCGGGTTGGTTTCTGTTCAGAAGTTCTCACTGGGGTTTAAAACAAATAAATGCTGGCATTACTTCTTGTGAATGATGCTCAGCTCAGCTCAGAGTTCATTTAGTCAGCAGTTCATTCCAACTTTGAGTATAAATTCAGCTGATCACTGGAAGTAGTTTATTTCTCAGCTTCTAACCTTAAGTCCAATATCTCACACACAGACCCTTTCAGTCATAAGAACAGGTAGGAAAGAATAGAAAGATTCAGTGCATTTCTTAATCCTACTGAAAGTGGGAAAAGCACATCACATTGTATAATCAGGACTCGTGAGGACTTGGTCATAAAAACGGGTTTATTTCTGTCTCCCACAGTATATTTAAACGGTCTCAGTCAGGGATATTGCTCCCCACTCCTGCATAAAAACTTGGGTGGCCTCATGATTTTAAGCATCCTGGTCACTCTTAGGAAATAAGGAAAAGGTAAAAACACAATCTCAATTCCATCATTAGGCATGCCCAGTGACAGTCCTTTGTAATAACCACAACTTGAAATTTCATTTAAATCTAAATATTCTCTCCCCACCTCATCCCCCCAACCAGCCAGTCCTGCTGTGGGTGATGTTGCTCAGAAATGCTATGTCCCTTCTCCTCTCTCCCTGTGTCTCTTCGCCCCATGCTAGGCCCCTCCAGCAAAGACACAGAGAATGTGGATGGGCTGAGCAGGCAGGATCTCATAAATTGGTACCATGTAAAATAGCTGGCTTCTCTCAGCACCTGGCAGAGTTTTAAAGGTGACTTTTACTCTCGTGGAAACTTTTGTGAGCTTCAGAGAGCAGGCACCTCTTTCACTGTGGTGCATCTTTTCCATGTTACATCATTTAATGCAAAACCCCACATATACTAAAAGTAGAATAGGAATAAACATATGTAACCAAATGCATCCATGTATATAGGGATGAAGAGATAGAGGGAGTGAAAGCAGCAATCTGATAAACATTTTGGAGCTAATAAGCTTTGAGCAGAATTTAGTTGATATAGGATTAGAAAGGTCATTTCAGGCAGTGAGAACAGAATTTAGATTGTCTAAGAGGTGGAAAGACATGGCAGGTATGGGAGGATGTTTGAGTAACTTTCCCAGTGTGGGTAAATCAAACTGTCACAGGAAATCAGAATGCCTTGGGAGGTAAAAGGGTGATGCTCATTATGAATAATCAGAAGATTTTAACTTGATTCAGGAGGGAACTGGAAACCTTCCTGGTGGTTTAAGAAAGAAAATTACCTATTTAAAATACTGAGGAGATGGCCTTGGAAATGTGCGTTGTGGGGACCAGAGAAGAGAGTATTGCCTGCAAGATGTCTAAAGAACCAGGTCTGGTAAAAATAGAATAGTCTTGTGAAATCCACATGGTCTCATATTTTCCATCTCAAAGAGATAAACAACATTTCCCTCTGCATTTTTTCATCATTTTTTATTTCTTCCATTTCTCCCATAATCTGATGAATAGATGATTTCCTAATGATTGCTAAAGAAGAGGGTGAGGAATTTGATAATTTCACTGTAGGATCATGCCATTTTTCAGGCAGCGCATTGTGTCACATGAACGAAATGTGGCTTTATAGCAAAAAGTAGCATTTGAATAATGTAAGTTTAAAAAACCCAGTAAGAAGTGTTCATCAGTGCTCCATGGAAATGCAGAGAGCTTTCCTCCTCCCCTTGGCCCTCGGAAGCACTTGCCCTCTGAAGGAAGGCTGGGAGGGGCAGGGTCATGTGGGTACTTCACCAAGTGTTTTCAAGCATCGCACAGGGCCTCTGCTCTGTCTGTGATCATGCTTTATGTTATCCGATCAGTCCTTGAAGTATGCTTTCCACTGTCCGAATGAACAATCTGAAGGTCAGAGAGCATAAGTGACTTGCTCAAGTCACACAAATAAAAAATTGGAAATGCAAAGACTCAAATACAGATCATCTGACTCTGAAGTTCCAGGCTCTTTTTCTCAACACCAAATAATTGGCATAAACAGCTGTTCATATGTTAGTCATTGATCTTATTCTGTCTGCTTCACTTTATTAAACCATCACCCCATGTCCTGGGGACAAGACATGACTACATTATTAAGGCAAATTTGTTAATATGGCCATGCCATGTTAAGTCACGAGGAGGCTAACACAATTACCCTTCCTTTGATTTTTGGTAGGGATACAGTGGACTTTCAGTTGTGGTTAGCCTTACGACATGATATAAACACCGACACACACTATTTTAACTGTCTAAAAAGAGCTTTGGTAATTCAAATGCGTGCTAAAGAATGACACTATTAAGCTGCATTAATATTAATAGTTTGATTCCAAGAGTCACAATTATGGTAACACTGAGCCATTCCTTCAGGACTTGGGAACTTACAAAAAAATAAAATAAAAAGACACAGCTAGACAAGGAAACAACTAATAAGTACGATGTAGAGGGGGGCTCTAAAATTTTTGTTCCTGGTCTTAGCAATTCAAGAAAATCCAGATAAGACTGTTCTGTTCATAAATACCACTCACCTGATTTTTTTCCTACTAGGCATCAGAATCTTCATAAGAATATTAGAGAATCCAACTGACAGATGAAATACTACCTGGCCCATTCTTTACCTTGAGATTCTATGAGTATTATATATCAGTTACTGACAATGAGAAATATGTGCCTTTTATGGGACACACTTGCATACAACTGTGTGAGATGAAAGAATATCACCCACACTACTTTTAGGTATGCAAAGAAAATTCAACTTCTGTATTTTTCTAACTCTCATCTTCCTCAGGAGGTACTATCTCATTGTCAGTAGGGAAAAAGAAATGTTATCCAAACTAATAAATACGTTCTATCCAATAATTTAATTTCAGTGTTTCAGATGCCCTCTTCCTTTTACTGGCCTTCCAAGATGATGCTGGATATATAAGTGAGGAAGCTTCACAGCATCCCATCCCCTATTTGCAGAGAAGGATAGAGGCTATGGATTGTGTGGGTTGTTTTTCACTTTTCATAGAATATTTAGAAAATACTGAAAAATTAAAGGAGAAGAAAATAAACATCCATATTTTAAGGTGTTAATGATTTTCAAGGGATGTTGATGACTTCTCAAAACTGATAAATGTCTTGTTAATAGCCTGAAACATGTCCAGTTCAATCTGTGGAGTTGGCTTTATCCAAGGGGTTGAACTCTGATTCTGAGGAGAGATTTACAAAATAAAGCCAAACCAAATCAAACACAAATGCAGAAATAAACTTGACATTCCCTCAAAACAAATATAATGGTAGTGATGATGATGTGATTACAAACTTTTTTGCCTAAAAACCTGATAAAATAGTATCTGTGTCTTACAACATTTTGGTAAGACAGAAGAGTGTCTTAATATTTTGCTTGACAGGTTTGAAGCTGCAGCCAGAGATGTGTTTCTCAGTTTGGTGAGTTCCACATGGCAGGATTTGCCACTCAAAGGTAACAAAGAAATGTGATTGAATACCAATTACAGGTAAATGCCAAAACACCAGAGCCTTGGAAGGACTAACTCATGTATAATCGGCTATGTTTCGTCCTCTAAAAGGTCTAAGAAGTAAAAAGAAAATAAACTTGCGTGAATCTAAATGCTCCAATAACAAAAGCAATTCAATAGTTTAATGTATGTACAATTTTTGCTTTGTAGAATAAATGATTAAGGATTCTTCATTATATATTTTTCCAGGGGTTCTAGTACCATTATCCTGGCTATTTTAGAAGAGAAGTGAACTCTCAGAAAATTGACTATTACTCATCTTTTATGAATTAAAATGAAAAATTTATGTCACCAAAGTCATAGAATATTGAACATGACCATGGTTTCTAATCCTTCTATAAAGATTTTGTTTAGAAGTGTTTATTATTAAACCATATTGATTAAAAATACCCAAACTATTTCTTCAGAACAACACCTAAGCATTTTATTATTTAACCAGTCATATTATCTTGTAAAGTATATTATATTAGTAATTTTGGGAAATTGGGTTGAAATATCTCATACTAGCTTTTTTTTTAATATGAACTTTGTTAAGATTTAGATGACCAATTCCTAAATGAGGAATCTGAGACTTTTCCTACTATATCTTGTTAATCAATATTAGGTTTCAATCTTTTGGACCTAACTTCCTAGTGCTTCCAGATTATTATACTTTTGTAAAAGCTCCATCCTGCTACCAGGATTATCTTTCAAAAACCAAATCCTTACATTTTAACACCAAAATGTCAGTGGCTTCCCTTGTCTATAAGATGAGGTTTAACATTTTAAAAGACTTTTAACATGCTTCAGTTTCAGGTCACAGCCCCACTTACTGACACTGTAACATACAGACACAACAGGCCACTACACCAAACAGTTTTCTGTCTCTGCAGCTACTGTGTTCTTTGGCATCAGTCTTCCTTTGCATATGATATTTTCTCCGGTTGGCATGCTACTACTAATGATGATAATAATAATAGTCACAAACACTAAGTGAGCATTATATATTTAGTACTAACTGCTAAGCATTTCACATAGATTATCTCTTTTAATATAACATTCCCTGTGAACATCCCCACCCCACAAATATGAAAACAGAGACTTGAGAGAGTAAATTGAATGAACAGTTGGAGGGTCTTCCCCACATAAAGGTATAAGATAATCTGTCATTTTGAAGAGTATGCTTAAAATCAGAAGCCAAGGAACTTGATTTTAATGCATTATTAATGTGGATGTTTTGGTCTTAAGAAAATTACTTACCTTCTATGAGCCTGGGCCTCTGTCATTTTTCCATCTGTGGAATAAAACAATCCTATTTTGAATCTTTGACTTGGACTTCTTGTTACCTGCTTACTAAGTGAAACTGGCAGGCTAATGAGGTGATGAGTTTACAGCAGATTTCCAATTTCTAGTGTAATGGAAATACATATGGTACAATGCTGGTGTCTATTTCACTCTACAAATCCAACCATTCCACCTTTGAGCAAGTGAGGTAGAGAAAGGCCAGGAGTATTTCATTAGCAGGGATTCCACCACTTCTCTGTGCCTGCCATGTGGATAGTTTCTCTTCCAACACATGTGAATTCTATCTAGTCACAAGAAGCAGATGCTGCAGGAAACAAAAAGAGAAATAAGCTTTTATCAATCACATAGGGCTGGGAAGAATTTTCCCATGACCCCTTGAAAAATTCCGTGGGAAGCCCTTAGAATTTTCTGTTTGTTACAGTAACCCTTATGGCAACCGGAAGCCCTCATGTGACTGTATTCAGGGCAAGAAATTACCATCTGTGAAAAAGATCCTGTTGTTATTGCTGAGTTACAGACATTGTACTAGAAGTATTAAACAAGAATGGTAATAACATTATTGAAGGTAAGAGTGGTAGTTAAATTTTACTGAGTGTGTACTATGCATCAGGTTCTAGTCTAAGCAATTGCACTCATTGGCTTACTGAATCTTCATCTTACCCCATAGAAGTAAATACCGATATTAACCTCATTTTGCTGATAAGGACACAGGTACAGAGATGTGAGGCAACTCGCTCACTGATCATTCACACAGCTAGTGAATGGCAGAGCGAGAATCTCAACTCAGGCAGTTTGATTCCAAGTATCCTTTTCAAACACAAAAAGACTAAGTGACACTTGCACAAAGCAACCTCTTCAGACCCTCTCTCTAACCTACATAGAAAAGCCTTGTGGCAGATTTTTTATCTCTGAAAGATCAGAAATCAGATAATCATTAGCACAGAACTGCTTTATGGTCTTCCTATTAAATTGCTTAGGCATAAAACACTGGTTGTTTTGTTAAACGTCCTGTTTACTTACTTCTTAGTCAATGGGATCCTCTTGGTCCTAGTTATGCAGAAAATTCAATGAGCTGATGTCCCTCAAAGAGAGCAGAATCACATTATCATTATCATATACAATGATACCATTATTAGTTATTTGAAATGAAATATTAAACCAAACATATCTGTTTTATTCTCTTCTCAATGGAAAAAAAAAATCCCTGTACTCCAAATAGAATTTGACACTGGAGGAAAAGAGTAGAAGAACAATTAGAATGTAAAACACTTAAGCATTCAATCTAAAATATACTTATTTCCCTACTTTAACCTAATTGAAAACACTGAAGTTTGTATTTATAACTACATAATTATCAAGTGTCACATAGCAGGCAAGTATAATTTATTTGTGAGGTAACAATTTATTTAAATTCTACCTGCTACATACTTCTATGTGAAATATTTTATTTTACTCCAGAGCAATAATTCTACACAGCACAGCTAAATATTAACAGGTAGTAAACAGGAAAACAAGGAAGTTCATATGGGATGAAATAGAAAGCAAAAGCCCCATAAAGAACTGTGTTCATGTTTGAATTATTTGTTTCAGGTTCTTGCATTTCTTTTTATGTAGCAGAAAATATATATGTAAATATTATAGTCTTTCTCTTGGTTGGAAGGTGGAAGTCTGTTTTATAAAGCTGCTCGCCTATCATGTGCTATAACAGTCAACATCTGCTTATGAACTCTTTACGACGTCTGCAGACTTAGGTGTTGGGGTGCAGTAGCAAATGTGAAATATGGCTTATCCCAAATGCAGTTTTTATTTGCTTTGATGCAATACTACAGTCAGGTATATAGATGTCTGCAAGGTCTGCTGAATGTGACTTAATGATCATATAAAGACATGAAGATTATACCTGTCTAAATGCCCAGATAAAATAGGTAAGAATAGTTTTCATACTGATTTCCACAAAACCTACCTTCTCATGAACCCAGATTCAATATTTTTTTCTGCTTGATATTACATCTAAAAAAGAATTCTGGAAAAACAAGATGAAACATAACAGAAAATAGATTATGCAGCAATGTCATGTTTTTAATCAAGGTATAATGTAATTGGTTGTACCAGCACAGGAAAGTAAAAATCTAGTGTTATCTCGGCTGAGCACCACAGCCTCTGCTATGGTTCTTCTGGCTTCATCTGTTCTTTAAAACTGCACCCAAGCAAGTAGAACATGGGCTTTCTGGTTAGTGAGAACTGGGTGCAAATTCTAACTTCTGCACTTTATACATGAGCCTTAGCTTTCTACTATGTAAAAATAAGGCTATTATGTATCTGTAATAGAGTTACCATAAAAAGTGAACAAAATAATTTATTTTGAAGCACTTCACAAAATACATGACATTGTATTAGATGGATCAGTATTTTTGTTTGTGTGTGAATCTAAAGCACATGATGGAGATGTTTCACTTTTTTCACTGAACAAATGTACTAGTTTTCCATTGCTCTGTGGAAAACTATCTTAAAACTTAGAAATTCAAGAGTGACTTAGCTGAATGAATATGGCTCAGGGTGTCTGAGGATTCAGACGATTCAGTCAAGAAGTTGGCTGGGGTCAAGGCATTCTGAAGGCTTGACTAGAACTAATGAATTCACTTCCACAATGGCTCACTAAACTGACCAGCAATGCAACATTGACTGTTGGCAGTTGGGGGGTGGGGGTGGGGTCTCAGTTTCTTGCCTTGTGGACCTCAGTACAGAACTGCTTGCATAGCCTTACATCACAGTGGTTTGTTTCCTCCAGAACAAGTTATCCAAGAGACAGGAAGGCAGAAACCATAATCAAATTACTTCTATGACCTTGCCTTGGAAATCAGACTCATCGTTTACATGATATTATTCTATTGGTTACATATATTAGTACTTTTTAATGAGGCAGGGGAAAGCACAAGGTAGTGAATAGGAGGAGCAAGAATCATCAGAGGCCATCAGGAGGGCAGATATCACAGCAGATGCAGGGAGTCAGAGGTAGACGGCTCACTATTAGGAAAACAACATGTGTTACTAGGTACTGCCATCATACGGCAACTTCTGAGCTCTCCACGGACAGCTTTCTGGTCATCTCGGGATTCCTAAGGTGAGGCTTCCTGAGGCTCTTGAATATTGCTTTTATTGAATTTGATGCCTTCAAATACCCATATCCCCACAAGACGCAAACATCTCTTCCTCAGGGAGTTTTCATCTATCAGCAGATATTCATCATATGCACAAGTCTGGTCTCAGTGCACAATGGACCAGGCTCAATAGTTTCTTGTAGGTTTGGGGAACCTTGACCTATTCAAGGAAGTCATCTCCTGGTTCAGAGCAGCCCAAATGTTCCTTAAATGCAACACATCTTTGTAACCACCAGCAACTGGTGGGCCACCCAAGGCATCTTTACTAACTTTAAATGGATCATAGAAATGAAGAATCTGGACTCCACTCTCCAAGGCTTAGAAATATTGAGTGTCTCTTCCAATCAAGGTCATATGAATTACCAACCGTGAATTAGACATAAACCCTGAGCACTGGTAACCTCCAATCTAGTTGAAGAAACAAATGACTTCAATATAATACGGTGGGGAACCCCCACAGAGTGGGGAACAGTATGCTATGGAAGTGCAAATGTGGCACATGCAGCTGTCCAGAAAGATGTTCCGTGTGAGATAGATTTGAGACACGTCTTGAGATATTATCTAGACGTCCAGGTAAAAGAATATATCCAGGCAAAGGAAACAAAATGAGGAATAAAAGAACATGAGATGTCCAGTAAATGAAAAACATTTCAATGTCACAAGGACTCTTAGTTCTGGCTCTTGGGAAATTGACTCTGAGGCAGAAGTGCGCAAGAAGGAGTTTCACCCATCAGCTCTGGGCATATCACCTCTAACAGAGTGAAGGAGCGGGGTCAGGCAGAGGGGAGTGTTCAGCTGAGAAGCAGTTGCAACAGAGGTCTCAGGCAATCCCAGTGGATCTGGGATGGTCCTTCAGAGTTATCCCAAATTGACTCTGGTCCAGACCTTTGTACCTTCCACTGAGCAGTCAGTGGATATGGGCTGCCCCAAGACAGGGTATATAACCTGAGGCAAGGCATCCCTTTATGATAGAAGGATTCCTGGAAAAGTATTTACCTGAGATTCATCAGCAGCCAATACTCCGAGCACTGCTGAATGCTCAGGCTTGTAAGGAGGAATTTCTGCAGTCACCAGATCACCCACTTGCAATAGGGCGTAGTTTAAGCAAGGAGTGTCAGGAGAGAATGGAGTGTCAGGTAGGGTCCATGTCTTGAAAGCATTCTAGGGGTCTCGGAGTTAATCACATAGGCCACTGATCCTCAAACATTTCCATCTCAAAAGCCCTTTATGCCTTAAAAAGTACTAAGGAATTCCAAAAAGCTTCGTTTATATCAGACATGGCCATTGATTTTTAAAATATTAGAAATTAAACTTGAGAAATAAAAAATTGGAAAACATTTATTACATATACACAGAAACAAAATACTTTACTGCAAAAACTGTATTTTCCTTCCAAAACTTGGTAAGAAGAATGGCATTTATTTTACGTTTTCTTGCAAATCTCTAAAATACCTGCCTTAATAAAAGACAACTGGATTCTTACATCTGCTTTGGCTGTGATATCATAGCTCATGTAGCTTCAGGGAAACCAGTGCATTCTCATGAGAGAATGAGAGCAAAGAAGGCAAATAATTTTGAGAATCGATGAGGGCAATAGGGAGTCTTTGAAGGGTTTTAAGAAGTACTCACTATGATTAGGTTTTCTTCTGTGATTGCAGCACAGAGAACCGATCAGAGAGAGCACACCTGGAGGCACGAAGGTCACCCCCAAAGTGTGAAATTGTGAGGGCCGTAACTAAGGACAAAGAAGCAGGTATGGAGATGAGTGGATTTATTTGGAGTATGTTTCTCAGGTAAAATGAGCAGGATATGTTAACTGGATATGAGGGTAGGTGTCTGGAATGGTGAGAGTTTTTCTGAATGAATACTTGGATGGTTAAAGATGTTCCAATACCTGGGAGTAAGAACATCAAGAGATGAAGAGTAAAAGTTCACACAATAAGATGAATTAATGTAACTAATATTTCAGGAGTTACTTCAACTGTATTGGGGGGCAGTACCCTGGAAGTAAAGCCTGAGATGGGGATTTTGTTTATGTGATTTACTGGGGGAGTGATCTCAGGAGAAGAGGTATGAAGGAAGCAAGACAGAGCAGGGGAAAGGTTAAGCAGGTGGTTTCAGGTGGAAACTTTGACCGCACTGGGAGTTCCAGAGCACAAGTTACTCTAACTACACAGCTGGTCCCACTCTGCTTTGTGGGGTCAGACTTTTGCACTCAGCCAGACATGGATTGGCCAAAGTCTAGAGAATGTGACTTCCTGGGACAAACATCTTCCCTTTAGCTGAGGGCATTGCCACAAAGAGGGCAGTTGTGAGTTGTAGTCAGCCAAGCCAGTCACTTGGGAATGGTAGGATGCCAACAGCATACACTGGAATTATGTCATCTAAATCTGGAAGTATTACTTAAACAGAGGGGGGGAAAAAACATGGGAATCTCAAGTTGTCGAATGATAGAGTCAAACCCAGCCCACAGACGCTCTAAGCCTAGTGACTGACCCAACCAGATGCTGACCTCCTTAAAACCAGTGATGAGCATGATACACGCTCCATCAAAGAAAGGAGACGGGCGTTTCTTGCCTACTTAGAGAAGCCAGAGAGATTCACAGTAATTCAACTTTTCAAGAGCTCAGAATTAATTGTCTTATCAAAGACCCAGGCCAGACGCCGTTCTCTGAAGGAGCCAGACCTTTCTCAGATGACCCATTCTTGGCTACTTGTCTACTTAGGACCCACAGTCACCTTTGGCCAGGCATGTTGTTTTACACCTATGTACATAAAGTTTGGTTTATAAAATATTTTGAGATATATCATCTTAATTAATCTTGAATACTCCATAGGAATTATCATACCCATTTTGTTTATTTCAGGTGAGAAGTTGAAACTCACTAACATTAAGGGATGTATGGAAAGCTGCGCAGCCTGGGGCTGTGTGCACTGTCTTTACCCCATAGGACCTTCCTTTTGTATCCGAGTCCTTACACCTTGGTACTGAGCACTTTGATGCAGCCGCAATATAATCTAACTTGATAAGATAAATGAAACATTCAGTCAGATTTTATGGGGAATTGTTGAAGAGATGGGTATCTGAAATTGAGGCAGGCAGGGATTGAACAAGAGGGATTCCTTTTTGAAATGAGCTTCCATTTGGGGACATGTACCTACCTTGAAAACATATTCTTAGGAAAGCACCTGATCAAGCACAAGTTCTGGGTAAACTTGACCTGTGACTATTTTCCTCATTTTTTTTCCCTGTTTTCTTCTGCTTGTTTTTCAAAATAATCTTTAAGGAAATGGTCCAACTCTGAAAGCCTCTGTTCTAGGAAAACCTTTTGACTAACAGACTGTGAGATTATAAATCAACATCTGTTAAATGTCAAAGTAGTGCTTCGCCAGGAGACATACTGGTGTGGGAACATCAAGAAAGGTCAATTGTTGCCCTATTTTCAAACCCTGAACCCTCAAAGACTGTTTTTACAAACCCCATACCGTCTCCTTTCCAGTGAGCCTGGCTTCTCTCTGTCAGCATCTTTGTATACAAGTCATCCTTAATAAACCCTACCTGATGTATTATTTAGAGTTCAGTGGTGCTTATATAACATTGAGCCTCAAGAACCATCAGATGCAAAATGATCAAGAGGAAACCCAACCAGCTATCTCCATGCTTCCCCCCAATGCCTGTCTAAGTTTCTCTGCTAGTCTCAGCTTCCAACTTCTCTCCTCGCCTCTGAAATTCCTCTCTGTCCAGCCTCCAGTCACTGGGGCTGCCGTCCTTCTCCTCCTTCAGCTGCTCATCCCCCCAGGATGCCCATCCCCACGTGACATGTTTTGTCTCCCTTCCGTTTCTCCGGTTTGAATCCTCACACGAATCACCCTGCCTCGCAAGCAAGATCTTTCTCAGTCTCCATCCTCTGGTATTGTCTTCTGGGTATGCGCTTCTGTCAGCTGGACATGAGCTTTGAGTTAATTCCCCAGGGGCAGAGATGGGCTTATACTGTCTTTCTCACAGAAGTCCGTTTTTCCCTTTTTTATAACCGATCCTTCACAGTAGGAGCTGGTACGCTGTGTATACCCGTAGGGCAGAGGACAACTGGCCTGTTCAGGAACCCACACCGTGGCCTGGGCTCCCCCAGCACTCTCCGCTGACTGAAGCCACTCACGCCATGTGGTCTCACACAACTGCCTTCGGTGTTTCACTTTCCCATCCACGGCTTCAGTGGTCCGGAAGATACAGCCTGATGACTATGTTACTTTGCCAGCTCTAGGTGCTGGCGGCATTCTGATGCAAGCATTCTTAAACCTTTTATATATCTTTTCAGCAGGCGAATGAAAGCTATGGCCCTCTTCCTCGGAAAAGTCATGCTTATACACAAAACTTTCCAATTTCAAAACTCATCCACTGACTTCCTTCTGAGGATTAATGGACCACAGGTCTAGAACCATTTGACTGGGATTGTACTTGGAAACTGAGCAAATGACACATGCACCCAGTCCTCAGACTGTAAAGGAAACCAGAGGCCCCCAAAACATTCAACACTGTCTCTAAAATAGACTCCCATTTCCAGGGAAATGGCCAAAGTCAGGTTACAAGTGGGCCACTGTTCCTACAAGAATGACCATGGGAACATACTAGAACTCGTTCCCACCGGAGATATCTGCACAATGTTAGCCTTTCTGGAAAACAGGAGGCATGTAAGTGGGACTAATGGTACCACCTATTTAATTTATGGCTCCTAGAATTGATACTCTACATTTTTCTTTCTGGCATATTGATAACTAGCTGAGTTCACAGGCAGACCCAATTTCCTCAAACCAGATTGATTTTCATTGCCTTAACTCACTTTGCCTTCTCTGTTTTGATGTTCCACTTAATGTCGATTCAGAATGCTAAATCACAGGGATGCATATACACACATGAGGGGCTTACACTCAGGAGGTTTTAATGACCACCAGGAGCCCAGATAATTTGGCCTTATGATCAAAATCAGACATTTTAAAAGTTATTTCCAACCTGAGGCCATGTGCTTTCTTTTCACGCCTGCTTGTCAATGCAGAGCTGTGGTTTGCAAAAGATCCTATTTCTTTGATTTTATTTTGTGGTTTCAAAGGTAGGAAAGAATTCCACCTCGTTTGAAATTACAGCTAACTGCAGGTAAAGAATGTGACTGTGTGTTCTTGCGTCCACTAGAGCCAAGGATAACACAAGGAACCAGCCCGAGACATTAAAATGTCTGCACCAATTGTGGCCACTGCGCCTGGGTTCAGGTCTCATTAGAGAGCGAACCTTGTTGATAGATCATGGTGTGTGGGCTCTGTGTCCCAAGTGAGGCCCATCAAGCTTAGTGAATGGCTGGCAGTGCCAGAGGGTTTGAGTGTAGTCTCTGTATCTGAGACCAGGTTCTGAAACTAAGTTCTGAACTAAATGTAGCAACTGCCTCCATTTATTCTCAGTCCTTGAAACTCCAAAGAGAAGAACGACTTGGGTGGGACAGATGAGTCGGAAGTAGAAGTGAACTAAAGCATTCTCCTTATGCCTGTGAATCCATGAATCTCCTGATCCCAGGGCTGGATCCCAGCTTCTTAGAAGTCTGTGGTTTATAAGGAGAAGGTTGTGACCTGTTAGTTGATCAGAAATCAAATTAGCGAGTCACAATTACCTTTCCATGCATAGATTAGAAAAAATATCAGAATGCATCACAGATAGTAAGAGTAGGAATGTTCTATAGAACTTTCAGTTCAATAATATTTGTTTATATTTGTGTATGTGTGTGATCGTAATTTTAACTTACATTTTTACTGTGGAGTGTTGGTCAAAAAAGTTTGAAAGCTATCATCTTAGGTGAACCTGAAGCCCAATTAGAAAAGCAAGTGCCTCTCTGTCTCAGCATCTTATGGCACTTTCCGGTGTAAGTAGGAGAGAAAGTCACTCATTCTGTAGTCATGTTGGTTCTTTTTAAGGAAGCCATTCCTAAACTAAGTTCAAATAGACATCCTTATCCCCATTCCTCCTTTTGTCCCTGAGACTACTTCTGGTGATTCAAAGCCAGCATTCACACCAGAGGCCCCCGTCTGCCTGCTCCAGCAATTCCCTCCCTCTCTCCTGCCTTCCCTCCTGTCTTCCCTGCCCTCCTTTCTCCCTCCCTTCTTTTGTTGGAACACCAGAATGACTATTTCAAGTCAGGAAGGCTTAGTAGCCAAGGCAAACTGCACCTGGAAGCACAAATGGTAGCAAATAAA